AGATATTTTCTTTTTTTTTTCTTTTTTTTTTTTTTTCTTCTTCTCACCAAATTGGGAACCATTCTTTTATGTATGTATACTTGCCCTTCTGCGATTTGTACACATATGACATGTGCGCGTGTACATAGATAAGGGGCCTATGATATGGCTAAACTTTTGGGCCCCTTTTAGTGCAAAACAAAAAAGCATTGTCCTCCCATCTTTTTAACACACGAAATTACGTAGCGGTGAAACTCTGCGCGACGTATTCCTAGTGTATGTCATTAGGAAGTTCCTCCCTGTACAGCTTTGTTCGGCTCTGTACAGTGCCGTTTGAAAGGGCAAAAAAATTTGCTTCTTCTTTATAGAAAGTTGGCTAATTTGCCTCTTCTTTATAGAAAATTAGCCAATTTTCTTTTTCCTTTTTTTTCACCCTTTTTTGACACTTTCTGTGGGGGAAGGGTATCCAAAAGCTGAAGGGGGCAGAGAGCTGGCGCAGTTTTGCTCACGTGGCCGCTTCAACATAAGAAGTGTACATAGGGAGTAGGCATGTACGTACAGGAGTGTGCGTCGATATTTGCCCATCTCGACATGTACGTACACTGCACACATTGAAGAAGGTAAAACCGTTTGGTAATGTTCTCCTTTTATCTCGCTTATAAGGAGAGAGAAGTGCCGGGGGGTAAGAAGGCACTGTTGTGAAGTACTCATCTGTTCACGTGCATACCGAAGTATACGACCTATTTCCCTGTTCGTACCTTGGTGCGATGAGTAGGTAGGGACACCTGAGCTAGTACCTAGTGAGCACTAAGGATAAATCCCCCCAGCAGAAAGAGGATAGCACATGCTCATGCAGTGACATGTGTACCTACGAGGAGCTGTTCCAACAAGTACCCCCCTCTCCTGATACACATAACCCGCGGAGGAGCCCCACTTGACGTTTTTCAAAAGGGACACACCGCCACACGTGTCAATCATGAACAACACATTCGACTACAACGAAATAGAGGTGGACGATTTTGACGACTTCTACCATTTCTGTACCCTAAAGAAGGAGAAAAAAAAGAGAAATGGGAAAAATATTGCGGAGCAGTTTTTTGACACGAATGTGAAAAATGGAGAAAACAGGGCAAACGAGGCGGACGGCGGAGAAGACGGAACGGATAATTCCTCCGTAGATACCACGGCCATGTACAGAGAAGGAAGTAAGAAAAGTAGGTCGACCGGAAAGAGTAGCAAACTAGTACGACAGGCTCGCAACACGTCGCATGAGAAGAGGCTGGATGATCTGCACAGAGAGGAAGAGGACAGCCTGATGGAGAGGAGACATCTCGGATTGGAAAACAGATACGGATATGTCGATGATGGTTATCACGATGCCGGTGGTGAGATCGAACTTGATGATGAAAGTTTGGAAGACGAGCGCATTGCTAATTATGATAAGCGTGACGGGTGGAATAACATAGGATCCAAAAAAAAAACAAAACAGAACCAACAGAGGGATGGAAAGGGAATGGGCTTCAATAACCCACACAGTAGCAATAATGACAATGTTCACTACCTCCACGAGGGAAGCGGCCGTGGGGATTGCACTTCCAACAGGTATGTTAGCATATCCAAGGAGGATTACGAAGAGGATAGGGAAAAAATGTACGAAGATTACAATGGCAGGAGGAAGTACTCAAGGGAGAGCAGCCAATACTCGAATAGCAACGGCGACAGTTACAGCTATAGTGTCGACATGACATCCGTCAGTAAGGGGAATAAGGAGAAGCCAAAATATTTTAGATGTCGTTACTGTGAAATGGATTCTGTGGATAGTGTGGTTCAGTGCAACACATGCAGTCGATGGTTCTGCAATGGATCCTATGGCACGTGTGGTAGCCACATTGTCACGCACCTGGTGAGGTCCAAACATAAGGAAATTAAGTTGCACAAGAATAGCCTCCTTGGGGAAACCATCTTGGAGTGCTACAACTGTGGGTGCAAAAATGTGTTTCTGTTAGGGTTCTTACCGACGCCCGAGGAGGGAGTCGTCGTCATTATATGCAGGGACCCTTGCCTAGCCAGATGCATTTCGCTGAGCGGGAAGGGCCAGGGGAGGGGCGAAATAATGGAACAAGAGGGGGAGAAGCCAACCGGGGAGAAGTCAACCGGGGAGAAGTCAACCGCGGAGAAGCCAACAGATGAGAAGGGAAACCCCGCTGAATTGAAGGACCCCCCGGAGAGAGAGCCTAAGAAGGAAAAGAGAAAATCCCTCCCGTACGAATATTTCGACGCGGAAGAGAAGGCAATTGGCACGGATGAAGATGACATTGTCAGCACGAAGGAAGACATAGACATGTTGAAGAGTAAGGGCTATCTAAGCAGCGACGATTTTGTCTACCTAAGTGAGCAGGAAAAGGTGAGCGACGGGGAAGGAAGTTCTCATGCGGTATTTGCAGCGAAGAAGAACCATAGCGGAAAGGAAAAAACGGAGCAGCATGTGAACCAGAAGGAGGACTCCGAGGCTGGGAGCAACTATTGCACCAATGTAGGAAATAATGTGAAGGAGCTAATAAAGATCAAGGACTGGGATTTGAGCAAGTGGCAACCAGTGATTGAGGATAGGTGCCTACTAGAATGGCTAGTAAATATCCCCACGGCGGAAGAAGCAGAAAGGAAGGGAAAGAGAACCACATCGTACAATGTGAATAAGTTAGAAGAATTATGGAAAAATAAGAAAGATGTATATATAGATGAGCTAGATGCAGAAATACTAAATGATGAACCTGTGAAGGTGGAGCTACGGTATAAAGACGGCTACCATTATCAGTCCATCTTCGCCCCATTAATCCAGTTGGAAGCGGATTATGACAAATCGGTAAAAGAGGGTCAGAAACAAGCAAATGTAACAGTCCGTTGGGATATAGGATTGAATAAAAAAAGGTATGCCCATTTTATTTACATGAAGGAAGAAAGTGAACTGAGGTTAGTAGCAGGAGATGAGTTAAAATTATCCTATACATATGCAGACGGAACGGTATGGAGCTGCGAAGGGCATATCTCGAGAATTCACAACACGGAAGAAATAGCCTTAGAATTAAGAACCTCCAGTACGGCTAATGGGCCATGGGTAAATAATATAACCACAGGGTACACCGTCGAATTTGTTTGGAAAAGTACAGCATACGATCGAATGCAGTTAGCGTTAAATGAATTCGCCCAAGACACGTATTCACTGAGTGGGTACCTGTATCATAAGCTACTCGGGCATGAAGTGTCAGAGGAGTCCCTGAATTATTACAAAACGGCATTGAGCAATCAGGTGCATGGGAAGAGGACTACGACTCCACGTATTGTTAATTATTCCGCCCCTAACCTAGCTGCACTTAATCACTCACAAATTGATGCTATAAAGAAAAGCTTAGTGTCCCCTTTGTCCCTAATACAGGGACCACCAGGGACAGGGAAGACGTTAACCTGTGCTACGCTGGTGTACCATTTGGCAAAAACGAAGATGGGGAAGGTCCTAGTGACTGCCCCGAGTAACGTTGCTGTGGATCAGCTTTCTGTTAGGATACACAAAACAGGACTAAAGGTGGTACGACTGTGTGCTAAGAGTAGAGAATTCGTCCCCAGCATTGCGGATTATCTGTACCTCCATAATCAGTTGAAATTACTCAAATCAGACATTGGAGAAGAACTGAATAAGCTACTTGAACTGAAGGAAGAAGTTGGTGAGTTATCACAGAAGGATGAAAGGAGATTAAAAAAATTAATCTTTTTCGCAGAGTATAAAATATTGCTAGAGGCAGATGTGATATGTACTACCTGTGTGGGTGCCATGGACAAACGGTTGAAACGGTTCCGATTTAGTCAAGTGTTAGTCGATGAAGCGACTCAGTCAACAGAACCGGAATGCTTAGTACCACTGGTGACTGGAGCTAAAAAGATTGTTCTGGTTGGAGATCACTGCCAATTAGGTCCAATAATAGTGTGTAAGAAGGCAGCGAATGCAGGGTTGGGAAAGAGCCTATTTGAACGGTTAGTTATGTTAGGTATTACCCCCTTCAGGTTAGAAGTACAGTACCGTATGCACCCAGCATTAAGTGAATTTCCCTCGTATGTCTTCTATGATGGTTGTCTCCAAAATGGAATCACCCTGAAGGAGAGAGAATACCCATTGAAGGACTTCCCATGGCCCAATCCAAAATGTCCTATGTTCTTTTACAACTCCACGGGGTTAGAAGAAATGTCTGCCTCTGGGACGAGCTACTTAAACAGACAAGAAGCGTCCAACATGGAGAAGTTAGTCAAGACTCTCATCAATTGTGGCTTGAAGCCAACTCAGATAGGGGTGATAACACCATACGAGGGGCAAAGAGCTTACATAACCTCCCTCTTTCAGAAGAGCATCTCTTATCAGCACTCCACAGAGATAGAAGTGGCATCGGTCGATGCATTTCAAGGAAGGGAAAAAGATTTCATCCTTCTTTCTTGTGTCCGATCGAACAAAAAATTAGGAATCGGTTTTTTAAATGACCCAAGGAGGTTAAACGTAGCATTGACCAGGGCCAAGTATGGGTTGATCATATGTGGTAATGCCAAGGTTCTCTCTAGACATCACGTAATGATAAAAAAATCGCATAACTCGAATGAGACCATCACGAATGTGAATTCCGTATGGATTAACCTCCTCAGTCAGTTTAAGAAGAAGGGCCTAATCGTCGAGGGGTGCTTATCCAATTTGAAGCCGATGAGCATTCATTTACCAACCCCGACGAAGCAGCCGTCGAGGTATATCAACTTTAGTTACTTCCTGTCCAGCGAGAGACCTTTCCGTGGAGGCGTATTCTCCGACCGAAGCAGGACCAGAAGTGGTGCCAGCGATAGAAGCCATAGAAGCTGTGGGAGTGTCAAAAGCGGTAGAAGTGAAAGAAGCGATGGAAGCCACCCTGGCAGTGACGACAGTAAAGCCCAAAACAGCAGCTCCTTTATGCATATGAACATGTCGAACCTTAGCTACTGCAGTGATGAGGTGATGAACAAAGACTTCCTCAGCTACATGCATCAAAGACAGGGTGGGGGAAACAAGCAGGTGGTAAAATCTTACATGGACAATTTGAGTCAGCACTCCCAATTCAATGACTATTCTGTGGTTAATAAAAACTGCCTAAGTGACAGCTTCCCCCATTATGAGCCCACCCCTTCCCTTTCGATTAGCACGAAGAAGTATGCCAACCAAAATTTGATGCGCTACAATAGCAGCAGTGTGAGCGAGGATCGTAGCCACGTGAGCAACAATTTGGTCGATTCCAGTTTTGGAGAAAAGTTTGGCGGCGGCTTCGTGAGGAACTCCGATATGTTTCCTTATCTGTCTCACAACGGCAATGACAAGAGGGACGCCTCCAGTGTCAACAAGAGACAGGGCTTCCAGGGATCGCATAATCCGCGTAAGCCGCACAGTACTGGCGGGCAGCACGGGCAGATGAAACAGAACCTCACCAACAGAGTAGAAGCGAAGACGTATCGAAATAGAAATGTATGAAAGGAAAATTTCACATAATGATCAGTTCGACTAAGGTAGGCATAGTCTTATAGGCCAGATGAGGAGTCACATTTGCCAGCCCATATGATGAATTTTTTTTTTTGTGATTTTCCCTTGGAGAAGGAATGAGGCTCCCCATCTTATCTACCCATCGAAGTGTAGGAATGACAAGTGTAACTGGACAGAAGGGAAAAGGAGAAGAGAGGGGGGTCGGGGGGCCATACTGTTGGAGGATGACCTATCGAGAAAATAACCACATAACATGAGTGAATTCGTTTAGCTGCATGCCAACTCGGACGAATCGCACCTGTTTAAGTGTCTAATGTGACCATGTGAAGGAGGGGTAAACATCCCAAGTGGGGAGAAGCGGGTCAACTAGAAGCAGACAAAGAGAAGGAGCAGTGGGGAATGAGCTACCCCTCTTGCTTCACTGAGTATCCAAACAAGTTGCGCAAAAACGTGAAAACGGAGTAGGAAAGCAGACTGAAAAATGAAAGGAGTGATATATCTTGCGATCCATAGAATCCGTTTCCGAAGCTCTCTGATGTTCGAAAGACCGCCTAGCCACCTTAACAGAGGAGAATCATCCAAATTGAGGTGATGGACATTTTGGGGAATGGCTTAACTCCATGGAGTAGCAACCAAAAGGAGGATCCCCCCTATATGCACCTGATTTACCTTTCAAGTGGGGGGGCCTACGTACACATGGGTTGTGTATCGAGCGGTGGGACTTACACGTGAGATGAAGGTACACATATTTTTACATAAATTTAGAGGGCGAAAGTTCCAGAGAAAGTTTAAGCCAAAATATCGAGAAGCTCCTTAACCAAATAGCTCTTTCGAGTGCCCCCCCTATGGAGGAACATGACTTGAAAAATTACAACACTTTTACGGCATGGGGGAGCCCTTGTGTTTTTACGAACACCCACCAACATGTGTCCTTTCGCGCAGTTCCTTCTGCCCATCTAACCAGTGCAAACATATACATGCATGTGGGGGGGAGGCATTAAGCGGGCGAATCATGACAAGGAGGAGATCGCACCCCTTTGGCCGCCCTACACCGTCTGCGCATATGAACGCGACGCTTCTACCCCCTTTTGTAATTTTTCGTTGGAGGATGGACCACACATGATTATCCTCATCGTTAATACCTGTCGTAAATTTTTTTTTTTTTTTTTTCAAGCGCCCTGTCTGTGCAGGTGGAGAAGCGGGGCATGTTTATTTTTACATACTGTGTACACTGTCTTTATGTAATGTACAAGCTTAAGTGCATCTGTAGTTACTGCCCTGGGTGGAGCTGTTCCTTCTCATAGCAGCTACATCGCCAGCCTTTCATTTCCATTCCCTGTCTACAACTCAACTGTGCGGGACGCGCGCCACAGGAACGAATGAAGTTGCATGCACGTGGAGGGAAAGACTTCGAGATGTTAACTTCAAATTAAGGAAAAAAAAAAGAAAGAAAAAGGAAAAAAAAAAACGGACAAAATGGGTAGCACGGGAAAAACGCGCCCTTTGCATAAAAACGGATGAGGTGAAGAACCAAGATAGCTCGGTATGTGCGGCATCCTTTTGATGTTACTTTTTTCATTTTATCTGTAGATTGTTGGGGCTCCTCGCCAAATTACAGACAGTGTTCACAGGCTTGGCTACTTTGCTGATTTGCTACTTTGCTACTTTGCCACTTTGCTACTTTGCCACTTCGCAATTGAGTCCCAATTTGTGACCCGCGTTATGAATTTTCCCCTCTGGAAGTGACCCATTTCTGCAGCGGGCGGCCTTCCCACATTTACTTAAAGGTCAACAAATTGAGCGCGTCTGGTGGGAACTTTGCCCAGCCGCTAAACGGTGTGTCATTTTCAAGGAAGACATTGAGTAAGGGTTGAAGCGCATTTCTGGAACTTCAAAATGGGACAAAAAGAATAAAAGATAAAAAATAAAAACTAAGAAATAAGAGATAAAAAACACTACCAACCTCTTCACAGTGAACGGACAGGTAAATCCGCCATGATTAAAAGTAAGCATAAGATGAGGAAACAAATGGGGGCAGTCCCACACAAATGGGGCACACCTGTATATGAGCTGTCCCTTCCTGCGTTTGGAGCTGCTGCGAGAAAGGACCCCATCAACATGCCAGCCTCGAAAAGTGCCAACGGCAAAAGTGACAACCTGCGAGTGTGCAAATTTTCCGTCCAAGCAGCCTCCCCCCCTTCCACTTCTCCCTCATCCACCCGTGTCCAAAGTTAGCGATAAATTAAAGAAACAGTTCCTAACCTTTGAGGAGGGGAAAGACCTCGTCACGAGCACCCTCAGAACAGGGAGGGGACTTGAAATCTTGAACAAGGCGATCAGCGAGAAAAATTTACTACGAAATGCTTTTCGTAAAATAAAAGTTATTAACAAGATAGGAGATGAAGAAAAGCGAAGCGTCTGCAATGGGATATGCATCGTAGAGAGGCAAATTAAATCCCCAATTGCGAAAGCGCTTAACGAATTTTACCGCGAGGTTAAAACGAATGCACATTTTGGGCGTAACAAAGTGCGAGTTAAATTTTTTACAGGCTTTAAAAAGATATATGGCCTATTCAAAATTGAGACAGCGTGCAAATTGTACGTCCGGAAGTTACTAAGGCGATTTTTCGCCAAACGATGTGCTGATTGTCCTGGTAGGAACACAAAGGTAGGAAACAAAATTTTGTCATGCGAAGGGGGAGACCACTGCGTGCAGTATAATATGACCATTTGTGACACCTCCAAAGCGTACACATACTTTAAACATACGCATGATTTTTTTAAAGGAAAAATTTCCTCCAAATGGACACATGATAAGAACAACGTCGGTGTAACTTCGCCAAGCGACATTCCCTTTGTGGAAGATAAGGTCTTCACAAAGGACTCTCCTTCGAAGGACTCCCCTCCAAAGGACTTCCCCCCAAAGGACTCTTGTTCACATGTCTACACCCTTCTCCCCCTGACGCCGTACTATTACGAAAATTTACCCTCCATAAAGCTGTCTCGTGCTTGAAGCGTTTTTTTTTTTTTTGGAGGGGGCAGAAGAATGGGAGACTTTTCCCCTTTGTTCCCACGCACGTGTACATGTATGTAGGTAACCGACGCAGCGTCTCTTTGTGTATACTTCCCAAATGAGGCACCTCCTTTCCACACAACAGGAGTTTAATACATATGTGAAACCTGAAAAAGGGAGAATTTCTTCTCCGACAGGACTAATTTAAATCGTTTCTGTTGAATTTTTTCCCTTTTTGCGTATTCGTTCCCATTTGGACAAGCGAATGCTCACTTCGCAAATGAACAGCATTGTTTAGGCAATCACTTGGTCGCACTAAATCTCGGATGCGCCGATTTGATAGCACCCTCATCCTGTACTGCTGCCCAATCGATTGCCGTCCAAGTTGAACCATTTGGTGATCACACGGGAGGGAGCGCAAAGAAAAAAATGAGCAAAACAGTGGAGCATGGGGATATTTTTCCGAAACGGTAAGGAAATGGCCTGCACCCCGGTACATACACAAGCATTTAGGCACACACACTAACACATATGCAGTCATATCACGGTAGAAATGAGAATGGAAAACGGTGATGTTCTCATTACCTTCGGGGGGAAGGAGGGGGAACACAAAAGGCGTGTGAAGTGATCCCAGAATAGTGGTTATACAGTTTTTTTTTTCTCTTGTCAGTAGTGTCTGTGGTTTGAAAAATGCGCCAAGTGGCATCGAATGGGTGGCATGATAATTGTAAGATATGTTCTCTTGCGAGAGGGTGAATAATCCAGTAGTGTGTCCTTAGGCATGCACATGGAACACTTCTGTCTGACTTGTCCTGTACATGAGGGAACCATCCCCCCATGTGGGCATATATAAATCAGAACAACGGCTCACCCTATGAAAAATCCTCCCCTCCCCGTAACCCCCTCCTTAACAGATTCCAAAAGGGGGTTAAATCCCTCGTTGGGGTCCTCCTCAAAAATTTTGTCTTCAATTTGTATTACTCTTTGGACAAAATTAAAGAGAACGATGGCATAAAAAGGGATGACAGTGGAAGCTCAAAAATTAATAGCAGGAGAAAGTTGGACAAGTCCAAGAAGAACATTGAGAGGTGCATTGACTTGTGTCTAGTAGTTTTAAAAACCTTACAGGGGGATCATCATTTCTTTACTCAATATGTGCTGGAGAACTACTCTTCAATTAATTTAAGTCATAATGATAAAAGGAGGGAGGCGAAGAAAAAAAAAAAGAAGAACAAGTTCGATGACGCCCTTTTGATGTACCATTCGTATAGCAATTCACAGCCATCGAGATGGAAAATTAAACCGAAGGGTGAGATTAACGGAGTATGCCTGAATGCAGGGAAGACGGGGGAGCACAGCATGTTCATAGGAGATAGGGAAGTCAACTCTTATGTTAACAAAATTGCAACGATAGACTCGTACATAGACAAACATAAGATGTACTCCAAGGAGGACTTCATTTGTGAACTAAATAATTTTTTAAGTGCGTTTTATTTGAAGAAGGCAGAAGAAAACGCGGAAGGAAAAGTGGAAATAAAATGGGAAGGAAAAGAGGAAATAAAAGCGGAAGTAAACGCGGAAGGAATAAACATAATCGATGACGATTTCGTAACGGATAATTTATTCTCAGAGTACTTCAACAGCTGCAGAAGGAACAACAAACTGGTGAATACGATAATAAAAGAGGTGAATTTACAGAGCTTACGAAGTTTCCATCGCGTTTTACACAAAAATATTAATTTTATCAGAATGTTTAACGCGCGAAATGATACCAAGCATGAAATGGATGCCCTGCAGCTGTCTACTCTTTTTGAGCTTTGACATTCTTCTTTTAGCTCAGCGGCTGTGCGATCATCACCGGTGGAAGTGGTGGAAATGAGTCCTTTAATTCGTTGTTGCTCCGCTCGCTTTCGCATTTTTACGTCCCACGAGCACGTGTGTCGAAAAATCACTTGTTGATGTTTTTGCTTGGCGATCACGTCAATTTTTAAGATGCTTACCCAATTGTGGTTTCTGTTTCGTCCCCTTTGCGACTTTCATCTCTGCCTTCCTCATTTCGATTGAACCCTTGCCGCGTTTGCTTCTTATTTCTCGTTGCACTTCCGCACAGTTGTTAAGGAGGGGAGCGAAACTACATGGCTACACTGCTCAGCATTTTTATCACCTCTTAGGCACATAATAGCGGTTTAGACATTTTTGTAGGAAGGCGCTTTTGTTTCGTTCTTTACGAACAAACAGTATAATTAGCAGAATGCATGAACGTTCTGGGAAAAAATCAACATTGTCTGATTATGAGCTGCAGCTAGCCAAAGTGGAAATGGTTTGTACAGCCGAAATGGCAATTTTTTTTTTTTCTGTTCATACTACAATTGGCTGCTTTAATTTCACACGTGTTTGCAAATTTCACCTTTAAGATGATGATCAAACTGGAAAAGCTGGAAATTGAGTCTTATGGAGAATTGGTAAAATGGGGCATTTTGGGGTAGGCGCAAATGTGGAAGAAATAGGGGAAAAACACGAAGAATAAGAAAAGATGGAAAGAAACACAAAAAAAAAAAGCAAATAACCTGGTAATACCACGACCAGGCGCAACACACCTTACATATTTTTGTGGAAAAAAATTTCACCACCTCCTTTACCACAGAAAAAGGCTAAATGTGGATATGCACTGGAAAATCATCAAGGAAATATAGAGCGCGACTTCTTTGAAGAGTTTTCCAAAATGGGGAGAGGCACCAAAAGTAAGGGGAGGTCTTTCCTCATGTCGAAATAGAGATGAACATCTCGAACGGATGCATCATCAGTGAGGCCCCGACGGACACCAAGGCTTCATATGAATTTTTTTTTTTTTCTAACCCCACGTTATTTTCTGTATATATCTGCGCTTCATTCCACACCAACGTAAGCTCACTTGAAGAGAGTAATCTTGCCGGGCTTCTCCCGCATCAACTGCATGGCCAGTTTTTGTCCCACGATACGTTCCAACTCGTAAGTATGATATTTTGTATAATAACAAATGGAGGACGAATTTGAGGAACGGACTAAATTTTTAATCATTTCATAGTACATAAAAAGAAATTTGGGGGGAGAAAAAAAGATGACGTGGTTGGCCCCCCTGAAGGTACATCTCTCGTAAAAAACCAAACGACCAGTAACCAGTAAGATGTTTATTCTTCCAAGTTTAAACAGCTTCTGAATTTTTCCAATTTTTTTTTCATTTGTATATTCGTTTACCCCTTTAAAAGAAATGTCATTTTTTTTTAAAATTTCGTATATGCGGAGGTATTCAATGTAGGTGGGTAAAAAGATGAGGAGCTGCTTAATATTTGTGAGGATGTCAATTACATTTGTAGCGAAAAACTGTATGATGCTTTCCTCTATTTGGAGAATGTGTGGGCACTCAATTTTTCTGAAATACTGGTTTGTGTGGAAGTGGTTTCTTACGCTTAGCAGGATCGTTTTGCAGAGGAGATTCGGGTCATCGACGTTGATCAGGTGAGCACTGTCCCCATCAGTCCTTCGCCCATCTTTCTCATCGCCCAGCTGTCCACTGCCCAGGTGTCCACTGCCCAGCTGCCCATTGCCCTGCTGCCCATCCGCGTCTCCCCCCTTCATGAACAGTTTGACGAAGCCCCTGTAATTGCTCCCCGCCTGAATTAGCGAAATGAACGTTGTGTCGAGAATGCTGGCGGTAATTATCGTCTGTCTGTAGTTCTTGACGTAGCCGTTTATGACATACTTTGGAATTCGATTTATGTTGGCACTTCCCCATCTGAGCAAAGGTTTGTTGACAAAATTTAGCACATTCTTTAGCGTCAAGATGTTTTGCATTAAAATGATATCTGCCTGGTCGATGATTAAAATTT